AGTGTCAGAGCCTGAGTCTCCCACATAGTCACTAAAGGCTCTTGGAAAAGGCACAGGGAACTCAAAGTATGTTTGAAGGTAGCTCTGGGCATGTGCTGCAACAGAGAAGGCAGGGAGTCTAAAGCATGGAAAAATGATAAAAGGAGACAAGAGGAAGCTTTGATCGGAGAGTGGGAGTGGGGTGCCAGAGATGCCTGCAGAGACGGAAGCAAAGACAGGAGTGTGGGGGAGAAGATACATAATTCCTTTGGAGTCAATCAAAGGAGGGCCAAAACAACCTAGATGCAAATCACCACTCACCTCCTCCAGTGTCCCCACGCCAGTTTTCTGCCACAGCCATGGGGATGTGGGGGCAAAGGAAATCTTAAACAAAATAATAAGGGCATTCCTTTTATTTTCTTCCCAGTTTTGGAGCCTCTGGGTAACTTCAAATAGAATTTTCCAGTTTTCCTGTACAATTGTGAGAATGAGAAATGTCTGGGGTTTTCTCTGAGTGATGAAAAGACCCTTATGCAATCCCTGGATTCCATCAGCTGAAGCTTCAAAAGAAACATCAACCAAATGTCAGGAACCGTGCTCCCAAATGGCAGGAAAGCCCCAATAGTGCTGAGAGAGACTTTACATTTATGTATGAAAAGGTGTGTACAGGTGCTGCAGATTCATAGATATTCATGGGGAAGTTACCTACAGAGGGAAAGACTGGAAATCATTCCCCGCAGACAGTGATGTTACTGGTGGTGGCTGAGAAATACCCAGACAGAGAAATGACCAGCACTCAGCTCTGGTGGTGTTTGTAACCTGGTATCTTAAGGGAATGAAGCTCGTCTGACTGCATGATTGCCAACTTTCTCTCCACACATTTCAGCTCAGCTTCCCCAAAGTAGTACCAAGATACCTGCAAGTTTCACCAAAATATGTAGCTGCATTGAGCAGAGATCTTGTCACCCTCACCGAGGAACAGCCTGAAGTGTTCAGCGCTTGTTGGCAGCCACAGGGGAGATACAAGTGAGAGAGATTCTGCACGTTCCCACCCTAGGAGAGTTTCCTTGGTGCCTGTACTTCACAAGACACTGAAGACTCAACTGTAAGACACAAGCCAGTACGAAGAGAGGCCTTGCAGACCAGCTGCTCACACAGCTGGTTTTTAGGGGTTGTAGATCAGGCTGAAGGAAGATTCATCTGCTTCATATCAAGCACCCAAGAGCACCCCATGGGGCACAGCTATTGGAAGCATGAAAAACGTTAGCTCAAGGACAGGTTAAATATAGAAGTGTGATCTGACTCTGTCCACATCCACTTCTCTCCATCTCCCGTGTTATCCCAGGCATTCAGCTTGCTATTCCCTGAAGCCCTGCCCTCATTTAACCTCACAGCTCTCATACATAAAAGCATCCAGAGTGATTACCTTGGCAATATCAGCACCAACTTCTCCCTCCTTGTGTGATAGATACCAAAGCTACTTCTTCCCCTGCCATCAGGAGAGGGACAGGGTCAGGAACTGTTCTCTCTACTGAAGAAGTGGCTACAGATACCTGCAAAACCTGGACTCTAAATAAAGGTCAAACCTCATGCTGCCAGACCTGCATGAGGCCAGGACAGAACAGCAAGAGACGTGGCTCATGTGCCAGCTAAACTGTGCTGTGCTGAGATTAGCACAGCCATGACTGCAGCACAGGAGAAAGGGGCCTTTGTAAGCAGTCCCTGAAGTAGGACAAGAAGAGCAAGAAACACTGGGGATTTGGGTTGAGGTGTTCTGATAGAGCAGCGTCTGCTGCGTTGGCAGCAGAGCTCCTTGCTGAGACGGTAGCTGTCGCTCCAAGAAAAACGCTGCTCCTCTCAGGTGATGGGAAAAGCTGTTCCTGGGCCTCCCATTTAATAATACAAACATGCCAAATATGTGCAGATCAGACAGGTTTATTGAAACCCCAAAAACCAAACAAGCAAACAAACCAACAAAAAAACCCCCAGCCCAAGAGATCCTGGTGAAACAGGAATAATTGCAAAGAAATCAGAAATTCCCTGGCCAGGACAGGTATCTTGTTAACGATGTCTAGCCACAGTATTTGCAACCCCATTTTCCTCTTCCTGCTCCAAGGCAGCTCAACATTTAATGATTTCTCATCTAAAACATGCATTGCTGTCCCACCACGCGCTGCTGGGGGGTGTGGGAGGTGACATACTTAGCCTTTGCATCAAAGCCACGATGCCGACAGCGCAGTTTTGACTGTCAGCCACAGACGTTTGGTTTTCCCGGTGAATCTTTTTTTAAACACACTTCAAACAACCTGCTTCCATTTCCCCCAAACACATTTCAGCCTCTAGGACACCTCCATGATTCCCACTTCTCCTCATGCTGCTTTACCTCACTGCAGAATGCACCAAGGCCTGCAGTATGATACCAAGGAGATAACACTCAGAATGTCGTTAACACTCAGAATGAATTATTCCAACTCCACATTACATCAGTTTGTACCTGATAACAACCTCCACCTAAGCATCGGGCTGCCACTGTTTTAAAGAGTATTTTCCAGTGGCAAGGGTGCTGGCTTTGCTGTGTGGGTGGGCAAACAGCTCAAGCATCACCTCTCAAAGAGATGCAACCTTTAGCGCCACTGTCCCAGCGGGACCGAAGCTTTCGGGAACGACAAAGCTTTTCGGGAACGACTGCCAGGATGTGGATCGCTCCGGGTGAATCAGCGGCGCTGGCCACACCGGCC